ATAACGATTGACATTACATTTAAGTTTTTGAAGACCAAAGTTAAGAGGAAAGCATAAAAGCCAGAAGAGAGTTCCACATGTTCCTAAGATGGAGTTAGAGTAGATGCCATCGCTACTTTCATTTCAATTTTAGGTCATAATTTTAAAAAAATGTTTTATATGATTTTGAGATATATATATATATATATATATATATATATATATATATATATATATATATATAGAGAGAGAGAGAGAGAGAGAGAGAGAGATTTTGAGATACCCAATATATATATATATATATATATATATATATATATATATATATATATATATATATATATATATAATAAAAAAGGCTTAAACACTAATATTCCATGGTCATAATATATTCCATCGGAATCGTAAATACAATCCAATTCATCAAACCTACAAACGCAAAAAGAAAACCGAAAAAACAACTCTGGAATAAAAAAATAAAATTTAGTGAGTGTGTATGTATGAGAATGTGCGACGAATGTTAGAGTAAATGAAAGCTATACGGAGGGGTTTTGATTTAGATATAGATATGTATATGTGCTTACATGTGTGTGTATATTTGTATATGTATAAATATATATTTTTATACATATAAACACATACACACAAATGTACGCATATATACATGTGTGTGCATGTGTGTATATGTATAAATATATATATATATATATATATATATATACACACATACACGCACATGTACGCACATATACATATCTATATCACACACACACATATATATATATATATATGTACGTATATGGATGTACGTATATGTAGGTAGATGTGTATGTAGATGTGTTTATATATGTTTATATATGTGTGTGTGTATGTTTAGGTATGTATGTATACATATATATCTGTATATGGGTGTATATGTATGTATGTATGTATAGTTAGACGGATAGAGGGATACATTGTTTATTTGTTTAGATGGGTGTGTATATGTAATTGTTTGGAGATGTGTAAGGCTTTATGTATATATGTTTATGTGCCCGTATGTGTATGTACGTATGTATATATGTGTGTAAATGTATATATATATGTAGAAGTGGATGTGTATGGATGTATGTGTATGTGTATATATATATATATATATATATATATATAGGTATGTGTGCACACGCCTATATGTATCTATGCACGTGTAAATATAAATATGTTATTGTGTATGTGTGTATACGTATGTGTTTTTGAACATAGAAATATAGGTCCTTGCTAGATTAGATAATCGTTATATTTTATATGTTTATATTAGATTTGTAACCTGTAGTCGATATTACTTTTGTCAAATTTTCTTGAACACATAGCGGCACTTCGGTTTTAGTTCCCCCCACCCCATATCTCTCCCCCACTCCTTTTTTCTTTTCTTTTCCTCTCCCTCTCTCATCTTCTGATCTTTAAAATTATACCGTCTATTGTGTGTGTATGTCACCACAAAATGTATCTTTTTCCGGTATATCTTTAATGTATTAGACATCCGAGAATATTAATATTTCTCTCACTTAAACCGTCTTTGACTCCCCTCTTTAAAACTTCTCTCTGTTAAATTTTATCCCCCCTTCATCTTTAGACCTTCCTGTTCTTCTCTCGTCTGTTACCCCTCCTTATAGCTTTCATTTACTCTAAGATTCGTGCCACACTCTCATACATACACTCTCACCAAATTTTATTTTTTATTCCCGGAGTTGTTTTTTCTGTTTTCTTTTTGAAATTGTAGGTCTGTTGAATCGGATCGTATTTAGGATTCCAATGGAATAAATTATGACCATGGAATATTAGTGTTTAAGCCTTTTTATTATATCCTTACTCTGTCTTGGTCATTGAGTTCTACCTGGATTCTATCCTCTTGGAATTATTTTTTATACAAATATATGTGTATGTATGTATGTATATATATTTATATAGTTTAGATATATAATTGCATATGTGTATATTAACCACTAATATTATATATATATATATATATATATATATATATATATATATATATATATATATATATATAGTGAACATTGAAAACACTCACAGGCGACGGGCTGTTTCATGCTAGACGCAATCGTCAGACCGCTGATAATAACAGAAATAAATAAATAGTAAAGGAGTAATTACAATCTGATCTGTCGCTTTGGTATATTCTCAAGAAGTGATTCCTGTGGGCTATAGAGTCTTAACAGGAAGACAGAACCAAAGAGAAGATTGTGATTTCACTTAGTATTTTCGTGTTGTCACGAAAGCTTCCATGCCGGTTTTCACATTTCTGAACAGGATGATTAAAAATATCAATCCCAGGAGTATCTTGAAGTAAATCGCGAAATAAGTGTGTTGATAACAGAAAGAGGTTCTGTTAATAACAAAACAGATATCTATAGACACTACTTTGAGAAGAGGACAGAGCTGCTGAGCATGACATGAGTTAAAGAAGAGTGATGCTGAACCATTGCTTTTACCCCAGCTTTCTAAAAGAAATTTGAAAACAAATATATGGCAGTAGGTCTGTTCAGCCGTATATTACACAATTACCTGGAGAGAAAATTAACACTTTGAGGATTTAGAAGAGGGGACAACTAATTTGCGCGAGAATATGTCGTTGTCAGCAAAAGTAATTTCGGTGTAAGCAGTTCGTTATCAAATGTACCATATGTTTTATTATATATACTTTTAAAAAAAAATGATAATAACAAAATCAAATAAATAACAATGAAGTAATTACAATCTGATCTGCCGATTTGGTATATCTGAAAGAAGTGATTCCTGTGGGCTACAGAGTTTGAACAGGCAGAGAGAATCTAAGAGAAGATCATGATTTCACTTAGTATTTCTATTTTCTAACCAGGATGATTAAAAATATCAATCCGTGGAGAATCCCGAAGCAAATCGCGAAATGAGTCCTGATAAGTGTTTTGATAAGAGAAAGAGGTTCTGTTAATAACAAAACAGATATCTATCGACACTACTTTGAGAAGAGGACAGAGCTGCTGAGCATGACATGAGTTAAAGAAGAGAGATGCTGAACTGTTGCTTTTACTCCAGCTCTCCAAAACAACTGTGGAAACAAATATAGGACAGTAGGTCTGTTCAGCCGTATATTACACAATTACCTGGAGAGAAAATTAACAATTTAAGGATTTAGAAAAGGGGGCAATCGATTTGCGCGAGAATATGTCGTTGTCAGCAAAAGTAATGTCGGAGTAAACACTTCGCTATCAAATTTTCCACATGTTTTATTAGATATACTTAAAAAATGATAATAACAGAAATAAATAAATAAGAAAGGAGTAATGACAATCTGATCTGCCGTTTTGGTATATCCGAAAGAAGTGATTCCTGTGGGCTATAGAATCTGAACAGGCAGACATAATCAAAGAGAAGAATGTGATTTCACTTAGTATTTTCGTGTTGTCACGAAAGCTTCCATGCCGGCTTTCACAATTCGGAACAGGATGATTAAAAATATCAATTTAAGGGGATTGTTGAAACTTGACTAATGCATGGAATAATAATGCAACACAAAATGTACTTAGAACAAAATGTATTGAAACAAGAAAGTGTACACAATATTTACATATAGTCTTTTGTATATTCCTGGTAAGACCGTTCCTGGAGAATGTGTTGACTGAGTCGCAGTCGGGCAGAGTCTCTGGTTGAATCTCTTGATTCCTCCCTCTCTTCCCGGTACCAACCATATTTATATGGTCGGTACTCCACTATGCAAATTGGGTGGATTCTACCACAACAGGGATAAAAAGTGAAATGAGTCCCGATAAGTGTGTTCTGTTAATAATAAAAAAAAAAACAGATATCTGTAGACATTATTTGAGAAGTGGACAGATCTGTTGAGCATGACATGAGGTGAAGAAGTGAGATGATGAACCATTGATTTTGCTCCAGCTTTGAAAACAACGATATGATAGTAGGTCTGTTCAGATGCATATTACACAATTACTTGGAGAGAACATCAATTCGATGATTTAGAAGAGGGGTCAATTGATTTGTGCGAGAATATATCGTTGTCAGCAAGAGTAACACGCCAAGATGTGAGCTACATATTAGAAACACAAAAATCAAGCAAGTACAAAAATTAAATATCTAGAAAGTGTCTTAAGACAGGACGGAAGATGGGGCACCGAAATCCGAAGAAAGAAAAATGCTTTCCAGAAGCTAAGCAAAGTATAAAAGTCAGAAAAGTTTCATTAGAAAAAAAAGAAAAGAGCACTGAATTGTTATATAATATTGGTCCTCCTATATGACGCTGAATTCAGGACACAGACGAAGAAGTGACTTTAAGCAACAAATGGTTCTACAGAAAGATACTGAGAATACCATGAACGGAACATAGGAATAACGAGAAAGATTTCGGGAAGGTAGAAACCAAAAGTATACAAAAAACGATTAAAGAAAAGAAGCAAAAATAATAAAATAGAAAGAAAGAAAGAAAGAAGGGGGGAAGTGAAAAAATAAATAAAAAGATAGGGAGGAATTAAAAAAGTTAAAAATTTAAAAGAAGTAAAATAATAAAATTGAAGTGAAAACAAGAAAGAAAGAAAGAAAGAAAGAAAGAAAGAAAATGAAAAAATTAAATAAAAAGATAAGAAGGGATGAAAAAGTTAAAAAATTAAAAAACAAAAATAATAAAATTTAAGAAAAAGAAGGAAAAAAGAAGGAAAGAAAGAAAGAGAGTGAAAAATGAAATAAAAACATATAGGATAGAATGAAAAAGTTAAAAAGTTAAAAAAAGCAAAAATAATAAAAATTTAAGAAAAAGAAAGAAAGAAAGAAAAAAAGAAAGAAAGATAGAAAGAAAGAGGAAGAGTGGGAAAATGAAATAAAAGCAAATATGAAGGAATAAAAATGTTAAAAGAAATAAAAGAAGGAAAAATGATGAAATTGAATTGAAAGAAAAAGAAAAAAAGAACGTGAAAGAAAGAAAAATGAATAAGAACGAATATAAAAAACAAAAATAAATTTGTTGCAAAGAAGACGGAAATAAGGGAGAAAGAAAGAAAGAAAGAAAGAAAGAAAGAAAGAAAGAAAGAAAGGGAGGAAGGTAGGAAGGAAGATAGGAAGAAAGGAAGAGAGGAATGTAGGAAGGAAGATAGAAGAGAAGGAAGGAAGGAAGGAAGGATAGAAGGAAGGAAGATTGGAAGGAAGGAAGGAAGTAAGGAAGGAAGGAAGATGGGAAGGAAGAAAGAAAGAAAGAAAGAAAGAAAGAAAGAAAGAGAGAAAGAAAGGAAGATAGGAAGGAAGGAAGGAAGGAAGGAAGGATAGAAGGAAGGAAGAGAGGAATGTAGGAAGGAAGATAGAAGAGAAGAAAGGAAGGAAGGAAGATTAGGAAAGAAAGAAAGAAAGAAAGAAAGAAAGAAAGATAGGAAGGTAGGAAGGAAGAAAGGAGGAAGGAAGGAAGGAAGGAAGGAAGGAAGGAAGGAAGGAAGGAAGGAAGGAAGGAAGGAAGGAAGATAGAAGGGAAGGAAGGAAGGAAGGAAGGAAGATAGGAAGGGAAGAAGGAAGGAAGGAAGATAGGAAGGAAGGAAGATAGGAAGGATTGAAGAAAGGAAGGAAGGAAGGAAGGAAGGAAGGAAGGAAGAAAGAAAGAAAGAAAGAAAGAAAGAAAGAAAGAAAGAAAGAAAGATAGGAAGGTAGGAAGGGAAGAAAGGAAGGAAGGAAGGAAGGAAGGAAGGAAGGAAGGAAGGAAGGAAGAAGGAAGAAGAGGAATGAAGGAAGGAAGAAAGAAGGAAGGAAGGAAGGAAGGAAGGAAGGAAGGAAAGGAAGCTAGGAAGGAAGGAAGAAGGAAGGAAGGAAGATAGGAAGGAAGAAAGAAAGAAAGAAAGAAAAGAAAGAAAAGAAAGATAGGAAGGAAGGAAGGAAGGAAGGAAGGAAGATAGAAAGGAAGGAAGATAGGAAGAAAGAAAGAAAGAAAGGAAGATGGAAAGGAAGGAAGGAAAGAAAGGAAGATTGGAAGGAAGGAAGGAAGGAAGGAAGATAGAAGGGAAGGAAGGAAGGAAGGAAGATAGGAAGGATAGAAGGAAGGAAGAGAGGAATGTAGGAAGGAAGATAGAAGAGAAGAAAGGAAGGAAGGATTGAAGAAACGAAGGAAGGAAGGAAGATAGTAGGGAAGGAAAACGTGATAAAGAACCATTTTAAGTAATAATCGATCAGAGAAAAACCTTTTGATATGGCTAGGAATCATATTTCAAACAATTCCGATTATTTGATTTAAGACCTCACCAAGCAATCAAGAATTTCTTTTTTTAAAAATAAAAAAAATAATTCGTGGCCAGTAAAACGAGTAAAATCAGCCGCCCCTCCCCACACAACCTCAATAAATAATTGCCAAATTATAAGAAAAAAAAATCGAATAAAATCGAAAGAATTAGAAATTAAGAACAAGATTTTAATCAAAAATATTGATCCGTTCCACCCCCAAAAGTCAGAGTGGGAATCCCTCTCAAATACGAACCCCCAGGTTAGAAAAGTAAAGATCCACTGGTAGAGTGTTGGTCTGGGTCACGATGGGTGTTTGCATAGTAAAGAGAATGGGTAAGAATAGGTCAGGGTGGAGGTGTGCGGTAATCTGATTCTAATTTAAGTCTGTTTAATTACACCAAAAGGCAAGCTTGGATCAGGGGATGCGATTGTGGGTGAAGTGGGGCGGTCAGGGTGAGATGCTAGAAAGTCAGAGGTCGTGGTTAAAAGAGGTGGCGAAGTTACGGGAAGAATCACTTGAAGTTTAACAAATTACAAAAAAAAGGAGACAGGAAAAATTAAAATTAAATGAAATTAAAAAAAAACAAAAAGCTTAGGTAGTGACATATTGAACAATCAAATAATGAAGGCGGTCTTCTCGGATTGATGTAATGAAGTGTGTGGGTCTTGCCCAAGGTTTCTTTTCATTGGCCCAGAAGAAGTAGTGGACGTTAAAGAAGACTTCGATATTAGGTTGCGGTTCATTTTGTGGATTCTGGCGATGGTCGTGAAAGGAGGAGGCGATAGATCAAAGGTAAAAGATGGAGGAAAGAGAATAGAAAGGTGAGCAAAAAAGGAAGGAGAATTATAAATTAATGATATGAATAAAAAAAATGACAAAGGAAAATAAATGAGAAGAAGAGGAGGAAGAGGAGAAGAACGAGAAGGAGAAGGGGGAAGAAGAAGAAGAAGAAGAAGAAGAAGAAGAAGAAGAAGAAGAAGAAAAAGAGAGACATAGGAAGAATTAAAATTAAATGAAATTAAATAAAAAATAAAGCTCAGGTAGCGACATATTGAACAATCAAATAATGAAGGACGGCAAGAAGAAGAAGAAAAGGAGGAGGAGTAGAAGAAGAAGAAGAAAAGAGGAGAAGAAGAAGAAGAAGAAGAAGAAGAAGGGAAGGTAGACAAGAAGAAGCAAAAGAAGAACAAGAACAAGAAGGGAAGAAGAAGGAAGAAGATGATGCAAAAGAGGAGAAGAAGAAGAAGAAGAAGAAGATGAGAAGGAGGAGGAGAAAT